TGGAGACATACAGCCACCCGTCGGGATTATTCGGAACTAACAGTTGGATTGGGTGTGGCTCCACAGTTTTGCCATTCCTTACTAAGTTGGCCGTCTTTAACACTCTCAAGGCAGCCCTGAAAGAAGTATGTGGTGTTGGTGTAGACCTCCCACCAGATGAAAGAGCTTACAACGTTGTGTATGCTGAAGATATCATCACATTGTGGGAGGGCATACAGACTAACTGAGCTGCATTTAGTCAGCAGGCAGTCGCTGTTTATATGCACGATATGTGTTCATTGTTTTAGTAATTGTATTTCCCAGTGACCGTAAAACAAAAAGAATGTGTTTTAACCGATTTTTCGGTATTTAGTGCTAACATGTGAAGTGTATCCTTCTCAACATCGAAGTGAAAAAGCTTCCACTTGAATGGCTGAAGCCTGAAACTGGATTTGTCAGAGCAGCTGTGTTAGCATTTTTTAAGTTAGGAGGGATGTGTTTCAGCGTGATTGAGATCACTTATCAAATGAAGTCGTCTTGAAACTTCAGCTTTGGTGACTGGCAAATGCAGTCCCATCAACTTTCACGTCCGTCAATGTCGTTTTACACAAGGATTAATTAGAATTGGCAGAAAGATGGCCAGTGTATGACATGGTACCATGGAATGAAGGATAGTTGCGTTGGGTTCACATCCGCAGGCGCCCCATAACCCCCTCAATGGTTTCCCAGTGATCATGCAACTCAGCGGTTTGGGAGAGTTGCAGACGTCGCTCAGAACCCCAACTAGTTACAGTCATGCTGGGTCTTTCTTTCTTGTCCTACTACTGAAAAGAGAAAGTAGTGAACACCTCTTTGAAGGTATCTTTGACACTGCTACTAATTTTATTCTGTACTGAGAAATATTACTGTCGACTTTCTCAGGAATTAATACATGCACCCAGAAAACTTTAGAGTGCGAACCCCTTTCTCCTGGTGCTTTGTGTCATTTTAGTTTAAAAACAGCCTCATTAAATTCAGGAGTAGTGAAGGACCCTCACTGACGTCCCACTTAAATATGAGCTGTGAGCATGGTAACTAAACCATAGCTATGTGCCCAGAGAACTGTTTTCCAAAGTGTTAACTTGACGTTCCAACCACTTGTCTGGTGAAGTAATCAGACATTGTTTTCAGTAATGGTGGACACCAACTGAGGCAATGTATTATCTCCCGATTGTTTTTTAAAACAGTGTTGGTTAGAAACAGGTGATTGTCAAGGCGGAATTGCAGATCACCACCGTTGAGTTCGTTGGTATGGAATACTGTATATTTTTTCAGAATCCCATTTGAATGGCTCACCTTCCTTAATAGAAAGTTGAAGCCTTCTATCAGTATGTCGGTATACATACTAAAGTTCTGCTTTATGTAGTGAAACTGACCGATCTTGGCAGAAATTATCCTTTTAATCGTCCGAACTGCAGTCAGTGGGTTTTTAAGCTGAGACTGTGAGTATGCATCGATCAGTATGAAGATCGTCCGTGGTTCTTAGGGATCCACTCAGTCTAACAGCACACAGATAGCTGTTGAATGATATCCAGTCGAGAAGTGTGCTTTCTAATTTGCAACATAATGTTATACCTACATTGAAGAGTCTACAAGAGATAAATGTAGGACCACCGGACATTTGTGAACAGAATTTTCGGGATTCAACATATTAGTGGAGTGAGGTTAAGTGAAGAACTCCAGTTGAGGCTTGTATGTGTATCTAAGAAACATAATATATATCCATGGCTCAGGATTCCTGAGTTTTGCAGGAGACACCTGTTGTCTAATTTGGTATAGGGTTATGATGTTGAAAGCTCCGATGCTAAACTGGTAACGTGATGTTAGGAGGCAGGGAATATTGTTTTTTCGGCTTGTATCCTAAGCAATTGTCGCAGGCAGAGAAGTTGAGGAAATTGTAAGATGATTAATATTTGTATCACAAAGTTAAAGTAAGAGGCTAGAAAAAGGTAATATAAGTAGGTTACGGTTGGTAAGGTTTTGCCTACTGCTTGAAGCATGCAAATGGTTATTACTTCCTGCCTGCCCACACCATTGCGGGATACCTGAAAAACAAAAAGAGGAGTTATTTAATGTGAATAAGAGTCAATGGGATGTCTGCTTGAGGCCCGTAACATATGATCTTAGCAAAGATCGAACAAGAAATCTTGCCGAATACGTTAAATTCATCGTATTTCGTCTCCTTGTTTCCAACTTGGTGAAGGCTATAGAATCTTGATATACATAAGCCATATACTTTACTCATCAAGAAGATGATAGTCCATTGATGAAATAATTGATACAGATTAACGAAGTTCAAATGAAATGATTAGGGACTACTGAAATCGAAGTTACCTTACGTTTACGTAGCCAAATTATTATCTTTGCTACGTGTGATCAGTGGAAAAATGGGTGTATGTGGCGAGCTTAAAATGTAAAAATTAGGGCAAACTCTTTTACATTAGTCAAGCTCAAGTCGGTCTGGGTCAAACAGTAAAGTCTTAGAGGTAAATTATGAACTGATTATAAAGGAGGATGAAAGTACGAAATCTTAGGAGGGCATACACTGAATGACAAATAAATCACTGGCTAGCGTGAGATTTGGAGTCTAACATCTGTCTCTTCTTGGATGCACAAGTCCTGTTTCATTCTTTTTATGGGGATTGCTTCTGCATATCTTTGTAAATTAGCGCTGTTTCCTTTGTTAATTGTTTTAAATGCACTCTAGATCTGTTCATCTTGTCCTGAGTCCATCAGATGTTGAGTGGTAGACCTTCTAAGACAGTTTGCCTCCTTCAGGCTTAACTCATTTGGAATGTGTTCGAAAAATTGATTCTCAGCCCTCTGTGTCATTCCAATGCTCGTGCTGTCACATGTACATGTGAGAGCTAGAAACCTGTCGACTTTTGATTGTTGTAGTAAACACTTTGCTTTGCACATGGAGACTAAATTAGCTGCTGGGAAAGTAATTTTAGTGCGGTTCTTGTTCTTCTAATAATTGCGTTCATCTCTCATAAAAGTCGGACGGAAGAACACAGGCTTTTTCTAAGAGTTATCAGATATACTTGTTTCTGTTGTTCTCATTTTGACTCATTCTAAAAATCTCCTGGAGTAACTGTTTTCTTTCAAACACTACTCAGTGGACTGAGTTTGTTCTGTCAGTTTGTCCGATGAACAAAGTTTCTTAGTCCTTTGAAGTAGCGTTTTAGCTAGTCTTTGGTTATAACTACATTCCACAGAGTGCTGTTCCTAGTAAAAGTCGATTTCAGCACCCACTGATCCAATCGCCAGTATTATCCACTAGGTCACCATAACAACCCCCTGGGGGAAGAGTAAATTTTTGATGTTGTTGCTTGTAATTTCCTGTCGTTGATTGGATCCCACAATCCATCATTACTGAAATATTAAGACATCCACCCAACAGCATATATATGCCGATAAATTATAGAGCTAGATACTATGGATTCTACTTTCTAAGAAGGCATACATTCAGGTGCAAATAAGAGGTGACGTGCTTAGCGAGATACTAATTCGCAAAATATATGCGCATCAATCCAAAGAACTTCTTATGTTGGTAAATTACAAATCTCGTTTGCCGAACGCCCAGTGGTGACACAGAGACTGATAGATGAATTGCCTAGACTGGTCACTTCCTGCTGTGTTTATCAGTTCGACAGCTCCTGTGAAGCAGGTTACGTCAGTCGCTGCTCCAGCGTAGTTAAGTAGAGGTGTGGTACAAACCATTACCAGCTCCATTTTAGCACATTTGGTTGAAACGAACCATAAGGTAGGAAATAAACGAGCCGTTTCCACTCTCTACTTAGTTCCCACCAACTTGACAAATGGTTCCCGGCTCCGAACCCCTCAGATTGCAGAAGCAATCAGGGTCTTATTCGGGACGCACAAATTCCTTCACATCCTATCCGTATTGTTGATACTCCTTCATCCTTATAATCTGAAATAATTCTAACACATTCTCTTTGCGTATTTTGTTCCACAGTATGAGAAACATTAGATCAAGCGATTATTCCTCGAATCCTATTTCTTAGTTTATTTTATCTAGCTCTCATAAATACATTCCTATTGTTTTATTAAACTATCACCTTATAGTCATTTAGATAATCAATTATTTTGAATTGAATTCCAGTAACAATTGATTCTATCACTGGCGTTCAAACAAATTTTTTTGGAATTAACTTCTTCAATTATATAATATCACTAGCCAACTGATAGGCGAAATCTCAATATTGTTGACACATAATTCGTCAATATTTACATATAACTGTCGAACCTGTAGAAGTTATCGAAAAGAATATTCTTTGTTCACTCAAACAGCTTTTGAATTGAAATGGGAATGTTTAGTGATTTAAAATTTAAAAAGAAAGCTGGTCAGCAGTCAGGTCTCATAGCTCAGTTAGTAGAGCATCAAGCCGGAAACCCAGTGGCCGTTGATTAGAATCCTGCCACAGCCCAGATTTTCATTTCACCTTCAATTATCACCAATTATTAATACTAGTCTGCCAAACCATGACTGTCTCAGATAGTCAAATGATAAACTGTCGATTCCAAATATTTCATTTTCCGTTTATTTTTGTTTGGCTTTAATCATAAGAACTTCATCACCGAAGTGAAGAAAAATCTTTAACGCCTTTTATTAAAATTAATTACCAATAAAATATACTGTATTTCATAATCCCTTCTTATAGTTACTAAGCTGATTTTCGGTTAGAATTCTGAAAGGTATGTTATCCATGCAACACCATAGTTATGTCAATTAACCGTTTAATTTGAATGGGTCCATAAGTATCTACTCACCTGTGAGCATTCATGTGTCAGGCTAATAGGAGTGAATATGACCATACAAACGTCAAACATTGAAGCCTTCACTAAATGTCAGATAATTTTTTACCAAAATACTAATGTTTTTATGCTTTCAAAAGGTAAGAACTTTCGCTTCCCTTCGTTCGATGGATTATTTTTGGTAACAAAAAACGAACTGGTAACCACTATCATTTACGAATGTCAGTAAATAAGACCAACTGTTTCTTCAGGTTAGTTACTTCAACCAAATAACATTCCAATCACATACAGTTAATATCTCATGCGAAATATTTTAGCAAAAGCTAGTCTATGTGTGTGCAAATAACACTAGGGGGATTGTTAACAAAGATATAAAAAAAGAATGACTACGACAGTATGTGACACATCGTTCTGCAGAGCAGCCTTTTCAAGGTTCAACTACATCATACTATATGCATAAAAATATTTTTAAAGACTACAGACAGCTGCTAAGACTTTTTTAAGGTAAGAAAAGAGGGAAGACAAATTTGGAGTAGTTCATACTGAGACAGACATAAAGTTAAACAGATACTCTTAAACAATATACAGCACAGTCAGTTACATTGTGAAGTGATGAACTGTATACTAAAGTGGAAGCACGTTGTGTTGTGTGAACTGACAGAAAATTGTAGTAGATAGAGAAACAGAAACATTATGGTTTCGTCAGTCGAATTAATCCCATAAAAGTTTACAGTAAAATGGTGCATTTCAAAACCATGTACGTTTATAATCTTAGAGAATAAAAATATTTAGGTTTAATAAAAATAAAGAAAACAGCTAGCTGTGTTTATTCAAAAATCGTTCATAGGAAATAAAAAAAATGATCTTTTACACTGATAATCTTAAGGAAAATTACAGTTGAAATGTGGACAGGACATGTACTACTGGTAAAGTAAAAAGTGGCCATTAGGTAGATAAGTCTGTGCTTGTCTGAAAGTAAAACAAATGCCATAGAGAGTGAAATGATACACGAAATACATCAATATGAGAATAAATAGGAATCTGAGGAGTATATATATTCACGAAAGCCCTTCTGGTGAAAGTATTTTGTGTTGAAGATTGAACGCTTCAATCGCAACGGATGTTTCCACAGCCAGTCGATCACTCAATTTTATGAGAGGCTTAGGATCTAGGTCGATAATGACACAACTGATTAACATCTTAGGAACACAAGAACAGCCACCCGAGATAACAGGAAATGTTGATGGACAGCTTTGATAAAAAAAGAAAGTAAAACAGGGACTATGATAATGTAAGTTCATTCATGAACTGTTGGACTATATAAATGAAGTGTGAAAGTCGTATGACAACTTTGATATGAATATGAGCAATAAATTCTGCTCAAAAAGTCATCAAGTAAATTAAACTCTATCACTGTGTGCTACAGTATATAAACAATCTAATATGGAAACGGCTACAATGTTTATACAGGAGTCAGAGAAGATGGCAACACAATGGAATAAATGTATAATTTAAAAAAAGTGCTTTTAGGAGTGATCTGCTAACATAATTGCTCTAGCAAGTATACTCAAATTGTTGGATGCATGAGGTGACATTAGAAAGGAATTTGCTTACGTCTATCTGGCCTACTTAATACTTAGTCATTTTCAACAGTAAACATGTTTACAAAGAGGTTTCGTTGTTAATTAACTTTACTAGCAAATCGTATTTTCTCGAATACAAATAGGACATACACTTATCTCTTTTCAGGGTGATTTGCTACAACTTTGGGGTGAGTTTGTAAGTCACAATACCTGATAATTTTTTAGAGATACCCGTTTTCTAGAACACTTCTTTTTAAAAGTATATTTAATGTTCAGTGTCTACGCTAATAAACAGATAAATTCATTCTATCCCGTTAAATTTACTCTAGCGTTATTGAGGTTTTTTAAAAGATCTGGTTGCATGATATATTTACGCTACCGTAAAATAGCGTCTAAATTAACATTTTCTTTACATTCCGCAAATGTGCTACTTGAATTTGGGTTACTTGAAGATATTTCAACTTTCTGGACATATCTTAATCAAATGATAAACTAATGCAACTAAGCCCTTTATAAGGTTATCTATTAGGGTACGAGTCACACTTATGGTATGAGGACTTATGATGCTACCCGGTCGCCTAGGTTGGTGTTCGAAATTAAAATTCATAGTTATTAAGCCAATCAGACATATGACCACAATCCATCCTACATCGGTTTAGCTTGTTGATATATACGACTACATAAACGTATGCAAAAAAGTATGTAAGAAATAGTCACTAAATGACAAAAATTCGAGGCGATAATACTTGTCAGAAGAAACATATCAGTTTCTTTCTTCTATTTTCTTATTTAAGCCTAAGTGATTAATTTATTCACACTTAAGTGAGATTTAATGGCATGTGCAAACAAATAAATAAAATTCTTACTCTGGTCTTGCACGTTGGACGGTAATCATAATTGAACAGTCACGAGCAACTAAAGAAATTAGATACTTTTCAACCTAGAAGGTAGACAGTTATAAACATGGAAGTTTAATTGATTATAAGTTTAAGCACTACTCAAATGCACAAAACATAATCTGAATTTTTATATAGGTAGCAGGATGCGGGTCTATGTTAGTTTTCTCCAATAATGAACCTGAGTAAGATGTTTCTACTCCCACTTTTCTGGAGTGCCTAAGTGGTGCAAACAAATTCTATTTTAATTAGCGAAAAGGCAGTTACAAAATACTTGAAGATATTTTCTAGTTTCAGTGATTTGACAGAGCACTGGTATCACCTTGTAATTCTTGTGTAGTTTTCGGAACTTAGCCACGTGCTAAGCAAGTAATTTATTTCTGTAAGGACATGATATAGTTTCTCGTTGTCTATACTGTTACACCACTTAATGGGAGGTAATTGCAGTTTACGGTTGACAGTTGCTAAGAGCGGCTGAAGTTACCGTTGAGTAGTTATACTTGAGTTACGCATTTAATCATAGCGTGTCTGAATCTCCAGTTCTTCTGACGATATTTGAGCGATCAGGTACTGTCAGTGACTATAAAATAAAAAATGTAGCGTATAGCTAAGTTGGTAAACTTGCAAGTAGTTTCCAAGTTGCATACAGCAATACCACGTAATTAACATCCGCGAAAAACTTTTCTACGTTCTTTCACCACCTGAAAACGTCACACTGATATCATAGTGATTTTTGAAGTTAGTGTTCATCATGGGCTGATATCTGTTGGGGGAACATTGGAAACCTAGGAGAACTGGACAGCTGATTTGTCCTGGTATGGGACTCTACAGCAGTGTGCACCCATGGCCTCGCCAGAGGTCAAGCCAAGCACCCTCAGGTTGCGTGGTCAGCACGTTACCATTGATTAACTGAGACAGAATCCAATGGTCGATAGTTCCAACTTCTTTCAACTCACAATCCCTGGTAAGGTCATGTGTACACACTGCTGAGGAGTCCCATACTAAGAGGAAAAAGCTGTCCAGTGCTCCCAGGTTTCCAATGTTTCCCCAACACATGTGCGTTCATGATGAACACCAACTTGAGAAAAAAAATCGCTTAGCGAAGTCACTCTTTCAACGATATCATTCTCAAGCTGTAAAATCGCATATAAACATTTGATTCACCATAGCAGAAGAAAATGATTGTTTCATGAAATTTTTTTAACGAAGTTCAGATTTGGTCATAAACCAGGAGATTGGAAAAAGAATTACGTAATGTCTGAAATAGTATTGAGAATATAACTAATCATGACCAAAGTAATACTTGGTTACTAAGCGAAATGACGTAATATGATGAATATAAAGAGAAATCAGAATTATAGGAGTGGAGGAACCTAATGTGTGAGAAGACGTGAATGAAAAGATTTTTGAAGGTACAAATATTTTCTTATAGGTTATGTCCATTGCAACTGGAGTAACTGGACAAATTTCTTTTGAACTCAGAGATCAGGTTTCAAATATTAGTCACTATGACTTCCGCAGTTTGAAGGAGTTTTAGGCGTACACCTTTCACGTGACTAGCATGAACTTCATAGATGAAACTGAAGTTGTTTTATGCATTTACCGGGTGATCATAATCGATCAAATGTTCTAAAATAGAGCTGCAAAGTATTCTCCTTTGTGGAACCAAGCTGGTATATGTTCGGAAATGTGTTTGGAAAGCGAACGCTGAGTACAGCTAATACACCTTACTTCACAGGAGTAGGTGAATTGATACGCACACATCGAGGTGGCCAAGATAGCTAGCTTATCCTAATCAGGCTTGCAGATACGCCTTGCTGACGAGTGCCAACAAGCACAAAACCTAGGTCCAGAGCTTCCTGCCGACTGCCCAGTCTGATGGCAACATTGCAAAATGATCGATAGAATTCGGTCAGGACGTAGGGATAGACAACATGAATAGACACCGGAGGCTGACCAGTCAATGTAGTATTGTTTATTGGTAAACTGCCTAGTTCTCCCCCTTCTATCAATTCAGCTGCTACTGTGAAGAAAGCTGTATTGAGCTTACACCTAGATAGCTTAACAAATGTGTTGCTGTCATGGTTAGGAAAAGGACAAGTTAAGTCAATACGAAACTCAGTTCTGTCGCATTCGGTCAATAGTAGTCATGCAATAGATAAGACCAAAGCGTTCAAAATCATTTATCACATTCCACGAAATCTTTCGAATGGAATTCACACTCGTATATTACATACAGCTGAGGCTATGAGAATTAGAGAAACTAACCACAGTCTTTGTGTACAGAAAAAGTTTGTGCAGCCTTTATCTCTGACTTGGCCAGAGAAAACTTAATAAATACCTGCAAAGAGAAATTCAATTTTCATCCACTTCCCTTTCGTCACCCCTTTTACACATGTTTATTTACTTTCAGTATCTACACATTTCATCCTTCAGTATTGCGTAACTTATGGTTATCTAAGTTTTGACCTACATTGATTGTTTAAATGTCTGAAGTATCATGCAGTACCCATTCTTAATATCTAATTATTTACCATTTTGGTGCTTCATCTCCTTATTATCACAGACTAAAGAATCCACCATGATTGGTTTATTGTTTTATATATGAGAAAATTTATGTACATTAGCACAAAGCCTGATGACAGGTAATTGAAAACACTATTGTTTACTTAGATGTCTTTTAATATTCCTGAATGTCAGCTGAAGTTATTAGGTCCGAATTGGTGAAGGTGATTTCATAGGGACGTGGCTTGGAACATAAAAAAATGAATGAAGTTTCTCGATGCATATTTCATTGAAGAAACATATTTTTAAATAGATCAAATCTATTCACGGTGATGAACAAATTGAATAACTTTCTAAGCATCTCTCAAGATGAAAGCTGACGAAGTGAGACTGAGTGATGTGGGCAGAAAATTCACTTTTCGGTAGTTCGGTGACATTTAAGCCAATTCACTTGCCTGAGTGGAATGCAATTAAAGGTGGAGATATTCAGCGATTTTTAAGAAGATACATTATATTTAGCATAAAGTACAATCCAAAAAATAAAAAGATTATACTGCACTATAGGAGTCTTTCGGCGCTTACCCAATAAACAGGAAAGCTTAAACGGAATAAAAATATTTATTTTTAAAAATCAAACTTACTACATCAAAACTTTCTGCTATTTCTCTTGTTTCAAGATATTTTGACGCTTCCCCTTCTCTCTCCAGTTTAAGCCACATGTCCCTGAAGAGATTTTTACAAAACCAAAATCGATATACGGCAAAGTGAGTGATGTAGCTTATGCAATATAAAGATAGTAACACAAGTAGCATGACTAGAACCACGATAAGTGAGGCATATAATGAACTACTATGTAAGAGTCAGTTACTCTTATTAACCAATAAACAACTTTCAATAAATAAGGATACGCCAATGATTGATCAACAGCTAAGCAAAATTTCATATTTTTATCCGAAGCAAAATAGCGTATTATGAAATAAGGTTTAACACAAAAAGTATTTTGCTTCATGTACTTCTTTCCAACTCCAATATAAATGCTCCATTAAAGTAATTAGTATATCGGTTTGTAAAAAAAGACGAAAGTCTGACACCGGTTTTAAATGAAGAAGAAACAAAAGAGATGTTTGATTTAGACATCAAACTACGAAGTCTCAAGATCCTAATCAAAAACAATGTTGCATACAGACAGATAGAAAAAAAAATCAACGTAGAATCTCGCATACAATTGCACAGGTTCAAGTTGCCACACTTCACAGAAACATGGAGAGAACAAGTGGATAGAAGAAGACTGATATCAAAGTAGTCAAAGGTGTATGAAAGGAGAATGTATTCAAAAACGAAGATTAGTCAGCACATTCGAGCTTTAGAAGACGGCAAAGAGTGAATGCATTTGCGCCATTGTGATGGATTTTCAATCAAGTCAAGAAGGGTTTCAAAATGTTGATTCTTATGGTTTCATGGGACAGTGAGGGAACTCATACCTCCCTACAAAGCCGAGATCGACAGTCAGAGGCTCATGGACTGGTGCCACGTCTTAATCTGGCAATCCTGGGCTTTCTTCCATTCTAATCTGACTTCTCCAAGCATTGAACATCGAGGAAGTGGCGGCTTGGCATGTGCAACACATTTCAAATCCATCTCAGTTGGATAAGGTTCAGAACATTATCAATCGGCTTAACTGCCTTGCCCAGTGCCTTTCACCTGACCTCAACATCGTTCACACGTGATTCCGCCAATCGCGAACAATGCTGAGAAGAAACCTGTGATCTAAGCCATGTGTCCGTTTCATATCTTCTACTTTTAACGACCATGTTTCACAGCCGTACAGCAAGATGGAACAGACTGTGGCGCAGTATACACGTCCTTTGACAGATAATAGGATTTCTCACCAGTGGACGCCATAAATGACTAAAATTGCCAAATGACAAACAAGCCTTCCATATCTGAGTTGAAATTTTGTCAGAAAGCACTCTGTCTGAGCTGGTGAAACACCCTAAGAAAGTGAAGTGGTCAACTCATTTCACTTTACTTCCTATCCTTAAAATGGAAGTAGTTGCAGACGAGTCCTGGAGTATCATCTCACATTTAACAGGTGCCAGCGAAACGCATGTAAACGTACTCAGATTCCCGCTCAATGAATTCAGAAGACCCTGAATTTTGTCATCGTCTACACCTAGCAGGACAATATCATTTGCATACTGCAAGTCAGCCACATACTATTCAGGGAGTAGACCAGTCTCCATGAAGTCAGAGGTACTTAAGTTAATGCTCATTATTACATCTACAACGAAGTTGAATTGGAACGATGATAGTGGACATCCCTGGTGGATACCACTAGTTATCGTTCATTCAGATGACAACTCTCTTTAAGCCTTTACAGGGCTGCACGAGTTTGAGTAGTGACCTTTGATTGGGGTTACATACTTGGTTGGTACTCCATTCACAGCAAGACACTGCCACAACATCTCACAGTCAGTCATACGTCACCTTCAGGTCAATAAATATGCAAGTGTATACAGCCGGTAGATATGCCTGTGTTCCAGGACCTGTCGAAGGGTGAAAATCTGGTGGATACATCCTCGCTCACGTCTGAAATCCGCCTCGTTTTCTTTAGCTCCCGTTAGGCGTTGGATAACTATAGACCCAAGGATCTTCAGCATGATAATCAAAATAGGTCCTAGACTGTGTCCATCGTTGGTTTGATGTCAGCCGACGCCTTAAGAGACAGTGTCTCTCCCTATACTTTAAGTTAGTGATGACCAGAAACAAGTGATTGTCATAACAAAATGAGGAAAGACGATGACATTCTGTCTGTTGATTGATATGAGATACCGCAGGTGTCTTCAAAATTATGGGAGGCTTAATATTGGAAGAAAGCGAGGGCGAAGCAGGAGAGAGAGGTAACAAGGATATGTTATTTTCGGTTGGATCTTGTATGCCACCAGGAGCGTGCTGGCGACTGATACTTCCTGGCTATCCACACGGTAAAAGTTGTTTCTACAGAGTACCTGAGACGGAAAAAGATTTGGATGACCACAGAGCCTATGGGATATCTTCTTGAGGGTGGTCACGCAGCATATTTAGGTCTGCGATCCAACTGTTCTAACAGCGGATGGAAAAAACTCATACCACCGGCACCGAAAGACCTCAGGGCAAGGATGGGTTTGCTATTTTGGGGGCCAATCTTCTTGAATCCTCACTCCAATAAAGAAAACAGCATAACCAGGGAGCTGCAGGTCATCCGTGGGAAACACCTTACTGCAGTCACAACCCACCCAACCAGGAGTAAGATATCGCTCTCAGACCAGAATCATAGCGTAGCAATTATTACTATAACGGTAACTGGGTTTAGGAAAACTGTTTAATAATTTGTAGGCAGATGTCAACAATAAACTAAAATATAACTTCTTAGTTGGATGAAGAACGAAAAATAAGCTATGGCAAGGGACAACAAAACGTCGGAGTTCGGCGCAACCACCATGTTTTTAACAAGTGTGAACAAGTAGCAATTAAGAGCCAAATGGGCAGTGAAGTCATCAAGGTTTTTTAATGTTATAAGTACAATGAAATTTATTTTTTTGGTAGAATTACCTAGGGAGCATCTAAGACAAAAACATGGTATACACAAAAAGAACCTCAATTCGCTTCTATTTGCACATATACCGTCCTTCCCCCTAATGTGAACAAGTGATACATCATCTGCGCCAGTAATCTGAGTTGATAAGGATTTTAAATTACTTCTAATTCAGAGCTGTTAAAAATAGTCACTTGTCTGTATAAGTAAAATTCTCAAAATACCAACGAAAGTAAAAAAACAAGTGAATATAAGTGTTCTGATAATAATTAAGGTGATGAGATATTCCATCAACAAAATAATAAACCAATGGAGACAGCTAGCTTCCGTAATGTTCAGAGAAAAGAATTCATGCAGGTTGATAATAGGGAAGGTGTTTAGAACAATACAGCATACTACATAGACGATCATTTACATACTCAGTGACTAATTTGAAGACGTAAGAGAAACGGTATCACATGTACACTAGATAGACCCAGTAAACACATGAGTTTGCGAAGACTAGTTATTTCTTGTGGCTTGAACACAATACTAAATGATCCCATAATATGATAATTCATCTGTTAACCTAGACTCTCCTTCTTAACATTCAAAACTGAGTATCGCAAACTCAATCCGCAAGTAAAGACTTGTTAAACACATTCGATAGAACATAGTTAGTACGTCATAATTTCGTTCAAAAGAAGGCGCTTTCACAAAGTGGGCAGCGTCCTATTTTCCAAAAATACCAAACACGCTATTGAATAAAACCAAACGTGAAAACATCAATATAACGAACAATCACATGGCTAAATTATTACTATAGCTAATAAGGTCAGTTATTCGTATAACAAAATATCTAGCAGTGACAAACACGGGCAAGAAATGGGAAGTAACTAAGTGTACTTAACTAACTATTGAGAGCGAAATTTCCTATGATGATATAAGAATCCTAAAAGAGTACATTTTTTAATTTGATAAATAGCTCGAAGTGATAGTTTTATTTACTTGATGACGTCTCGAGCATAAATTATTGCTCACAATCATATCAATGTAATCACACTCTTTTCGACATCTGATTTTTTGAGTCATGTCACCTCATATTCTTTGTTTTTGTTGGTAATAAAGTTTCCCATATCTCTGGTATACGTGTTCTGTCATTCCTGTTACATGTGTTAGGTGTAGATTCGACGAACCAGGATCCAGTAATTAATCTCTCTCTCCACCTAAATATATTCGACGTAAACATAGTGAACTTTTCGCAACCTACTGAGAAGCGAATGAGATCAATAATCTAGAAAAACATTCAGCTATTGGAATGCATGCATTAATACACAACTACACAATCATTACCATTATTAGTCACTTGGTTCCTAATGGAACATAGGGCTTCAGTAGCACGTCTCCAGTTAACTCTGTTCTCTGAAATATTTTGAACCTGCCTCCATGACAGCCCACAAGCTCTCATTTCCTCCTCGCACGATCTCCTCCATGTCACCCTCGGATGCCCAACTCGTCGTTTCACCTTTGAATTCCACTCGAGCGCCTAGCACGTGATGCCCCCAGTCGGTCTTCTCAGTGCATGCCCAATCCATCTCCATTTCCTTCTGCATATTTTTTCAGCGATAGGTTCTTGGTTGTTCGTTCCCAGAGTTCATTGTTGCTTATTCCTTCTGACCATCTGATCTTCAGTAGCGAGCGTAAGCAGTTGTTGATGAATGTCTGTAGTTTATTGGAAATCCCTTTCGCAACGCGCCAAGTCTCTGAGCCATACAGAAGCGCTGACTTAACGTTGGTGTTGAAAATCCGGATCTTGTTCCACATGCTGAGTGCAGATCTCCACACTGGTTTCAGGCTAATGAACGCCTGTCTTGCTTTTCCGATTCTGGCTTTGACGTCCTCGTCTGTGCCGCCTGTAGTTGTAACAGTGCTGCCTACATAGGTGAAGGAGGTTACTTCCTTTAAGTTTCTCCTGTTCATCCTGATTGGAGTTTGTTGTTGTTGGTGGTTGCGTTAGTTGGATATCTTCATCACCTCTATCTTCTCTATATTCACTTGAAGTCCCGTCTTTGCTGCCCAGCCTCTTCTGCCAACTTGTTAGTTTTCGCCTGTAGATCTTCAAGTTTGTGTGACATCAGGCACAAGTCATCGGCGAAATCCAAGTCTTCTA